TGTGTTGCATTTTTATACTTACACGATGAAAAGGGAATGAAGAAAGGTGATGAAGGAATAAAAGTAAGCTAGTCTGTCGAAGAGCCCTGACCAAATGAATTTATTTAATTTACACTTTTAACATATATCCAGGCTTAAATTCAACCATAACTGTAAAATATTGTTCGAAAACATTTTGAAAATGGCGGTCTTGTCCTCGCATCTCCTCAGGAAGATCACATTATAATCGCTACATAACGAATTACCCACAATCCCTTTTTCATCCTTTCATCAGACCAATAGACGCGCACAGAATAATTTTTGTTTATTTATGTAGATGTGTGAAAAAGGATGTACATTGAAAACATTTCCTTCATTCAAATTCACAATTATTATCATTTTTCGTATATAAAAAAAGGTCAGTTATCGTTCGTTTTTAGTTTCTTTTTTGCTTCATTCAATCTTTTTTTACCATTCGAAAATGTGGAACAAATAAAACGTATCATTATTATTCAATTCGACAATAAGAGGCATAAATTTGGCAAATGAGCCGTAATTCTCCCATCAGTTTTCAAACGTTAACATGTTATTTTGTAAAAAGTAGCCTCGAAAAACCAAAACAATCTATTTTTATTCTGTTTATTTGAATCTGGCGTTCGTCGTATTCAGTCAATGAAATAAAAAATAAAAATAAAAAAAACATACCTCGCAACTCATATTCTGAAATAAATAAAATACCAGCAAATCTTTTCGGAAACATTCTTATTTGCAATGAATTAGGTAAACTTCGAGTCGAAATAAGGCTAGGTTTGATGGAATTGAATATCAATCAGTATTGTGCGCTAAAATCATTTTAAAATCGAGTACGTATCACGGTGTATAATGTAACATATACGTATCATGGCGCCACGTTTTACGCACTTGTTTACTGAAATTTGGCATTCGGCTGTTATTCTTATAAAATGAATAAATCACTCCTTTCCAGATCGATCGACCTGTAACTTCAGTGATTGATTCGGATCGTTCGATTAACTAAAATTGGCCACTTGATAGCTCGTGTAATACTTACAAGAAAAGACTCGCTTAAAGTTTGCATGAGATTTTACTGAGGTAAATCTGCCAACAGTTAAATAGTGAACGTCTGTCCTAAATGGGTTACTTCTACTTCGTTGTCGAGTAGAAGTAAAAAAAAAAAAATAAAATGGAAAGAGGGAAGAATAGATATTTGAGGAGATAAACGGGTGTACTAATCCGGGGTTTTTGCTGGGAGGGTGGGTCTGATCTGTGATTGAATACTGATCAAAATTGTGGGCAGTTTGCAAAAAATAAAAATAAAAAAAAATCGATAAGTAGATTAAAAAAATATCAAATTCAATGTTAGGCGAAATATAAGGATATTCAGGTTTAAATCGTAAGGGAAGTATTGACTCTTGGAGTCGAGGACAAGTTCATGATTGATGTAAATTTATCTGCGTCTTAGCAGAATTTGATTCAGTTGCAGTAAGTGTCTTCAAGAGAGGTGAGTTTCATTTGGCAATAGACATTTGTATTGTTAAGATTATTATCTTCTTTCTGTTGCCCTGGGGGTGGTGGCGGTGGCGGTGGACCGAGATTAGCACTGATTCTACGACTGGGTGGCGTCTTGTAATGACCTGTGTCCGTTTCTGTATCGTTAGCACGTCGTAAAATACGTGACCTCCCAAGAGCTGTGGTAGCTGGAGTAACACCTGTAGTCGCGAGTGGATTCGTTGCCTTATCAGACGGGGTTCCGATTTGCATATAAGTGTTCGTCTCAGGGTCTTCCGGGTAGGCCGAAAGTGGCAGTGAATCGTCATTGTTGTCGTGAGGTACAATATCGTAAACTGGGTGCGAAACGGGTATTTTGTAATGACCGGTGTCAACTGGTGCAGTCAGCGGTTGGCTGCTCTCTGCGGCCGTCGACACCGATTCATTCTTAGCTCTCATATTTGCAGCGGTGGTAACGTCATTTGCATCCTCATAAAACGGGTCTTCGTTGGTCTGGTTCACGGATTCTTCGGAAGCAGAATGCAGTGGCGTCACCATTGCTACAGGTTGCGAGAAGCTGACTGTTTTATTCTTCGTGCGAGGCGTGTTCCGTCCAGTCGGCGGTGTGGAGAATGTCACGTTGGCGTAATGGCCACTGTTTGTCAATATACCTGTCCGTCGTCGTTCGCCATTGATGGCCGATGGCTCGCTGTACCGACGGTTAGGGTCTGTGCATGAATCGGCTTCTTCGTAGTAGTTAACGTATTCGTCCGTTGTCGTGTCTGGATCCGCTTCTGGATCTGGATTGGCCGACAGGACCAAATCCTCCTGTATTTTCTTCTGGGTAATTGCCTGCAAATTGCTGTAGGTCGATACTTTCAAGGGACTACGCCGTATCGATATGTAATGGTCTTCGTTATAGTCGTATCCGCTGCAGGGGTCATCTTTCCCACAAAGACTCGGAGGCTGGTAAAGGGATTTCTTTTGAGATTCTTCTTTCTTCTTCTTACGTTTGCTACGAAAGAAATTAATTGTTAAAGTTAGTAAGAAAAAAAAAAAAACTACAAGAATACAAGAAAGTAAAAAAATAGTTATAGTTACAAAAAGGACATTATTTACATTATTCGGACTATTGTCCTCATCTTTGTCGCCATATTTATCACAACGTTTCGGCCGTTGTACGCTTCGGCCTTCTTCAGGCGGTTGGAATGTCGAACTGAACCCATTATTTCGCTCACTGAGGTAGACTGTTCTAGTTCCACGTGCCATGTTTTAATGGATGTCAGTTATCAGTTATCTCCTGTTAATTTTCCCTCTGAAAATTCTCCACTGCCTTAACCGGCCTTTATCCACTGTGCCCAGTGGATAAAGGCATTAGTTAGATCCAGTGACAGGACCCAAAAAGTGTGAGTTCAATACCCGGTTAAGGCAGTGGAGAACTTTCAGAGGGAAAATTAACAGGAGATAACTGATAGCTGACATCCATCAAACATGGCACGTGGAACTAGAACTGCCTACACCAATGAGCGAAATAAAGGGTTCAGGTCGACATTCCAACCACCTGAAGAAGGCCGAAGCGTACAACGGCCGAAACGTCGTGACAAATATGGCGACAAAGATGAGGACAATAGTCCGAAAAATGTAAATAATGTACATAATACCTGATCTCAGAAATATAGACAGATACTGAAAGGCCGAAACGTTGTAATAAATATGGCAACAAAGATGAGGACAATAGTCCGAATAATTTAATTAGTGTACATAATACCTCATCTCAGAAATATAGATAGATACTTAAAGGCCGAAACGTTGTAATAAATATGGCGACAAAGATGAGGACAATAGTCCGAATAATGTAAATAGTGTACATAATACCTCATCTCAGAAATATAGACAGATAATAAAGTAGATGTTAATATTGGGTATCCCTGTTGTTTTACAAGCAAGTAATAAATAAATGTCTCGCTTTTTAGCACAATATATTGAATGCAATTTCCTATATCCCGTAATAGATTTGGGCATGACGATAAACTACATCCGGCAGCAAGGCCTCTAATCGAGAGATTGGAGGTTTTGAGAAGCGCGGAAGCACCTCTTAATTACTCTTGTTCCCAGGTACATCCTGACATGGGGTGGCAGTACCTGTTAGGGTCCCAGCCATGGAAAAATATTGATCCCACAAACAAAAATCAAAAAACACTAGGAAAGTATAAAAGTATATTTTATAGTAAAATTACCAGCAATACATTTCAATAAGAAAATTTCAACAATACATTTTTGTAGGAAAATTACCAGCATTACATTTCTTTAGTAAAATCACCAACAATACATTTCTTTAGTAAAATTACAAAAATACAATTATTTAGTAAAATTACCAGTAATACATTTCTTTAGTAAAACTAGCAGCAATACTTTTCTTCAGTAAAATTACCAGCAATACATTTCTTTAGTAAAATTACCAACAATACATTTCTTCAGTAAAATTACCAACAATACATTTCTTCAGTAAAATTACCAACAATACATTTCTTTAGTAAAATTAAAAGCAATACATTTCTTCAGTAAAATTACCAACAATACATTTCTTCAGTAAAATTACCAGCAATACATTTCTTCAGTAAAATTACCAGCAATACATTTCTTCAGTAAAATTACCAACAATACATTTCTTCAGTAAAATTACCAACAATACATTTCTTTAGTAAAATTACCAGCAATACATTTCTTCAGTAAAATTACCAACAATACATTTCTTTAGTAAAATTACCAATAATACATTTCTTCAGTAAAATTACCAACAATACATCTTTAGTAAAATTACCAACAATACATTTCTTCAGTAAAATTACCAACAATACATTTCTTCAGTAAAATTACCAACAATACATTTCTTTAGTAAAATTACCAGCAATACATTTCTTCAGTAAAATTACCAACAATACATTTCTTTAGTAAAATTACCAGCAATACATTTCTTCAGTAAAATTACCAACAATACATTTCTTTAGTAAAATTACCAGAAATACATTTTATAATTAAATTATCAACAATACTCTTTTTATAGTAAAATTACCAACAATGCATTTTATAATAAAATGATCAGCAATACATTTTTATGGCAAAACGACAATCAATACATTTTATAGTAAATCAAGACATGGCATACATTGTCAAAAAAAAAAAAGAAAAAAAAAGAAGAATTTTCTATGATTAATCTCATTTCTGTAAAAAGAAACAAGGTTTTTACCCCTTGTTTGATTTTCTATGGTTATTAAAGGAAAAAAAATGGCAGCTCAGTGATTATAATTTAATCATGAAATAATGTCATTTCCTTGAATTAATTATAAAGTGTGAATTGTCACACTTAGGATTTCGGGACTAAAAAATCATAAAGATTGATATTACATTAATAAAAAAGAACCAAAACTATAGTCCTTAAACAATTAATTGGAGGGCAAATACTATAACAGGTACTTATTCTTGTATCTACGTTTAGAAAGTAATTTTTTCCTCAATAGCCTATAATGCTGGTGAAATTATATATATATATATATATATATATATATATGAAGAAATATAGTCATAAGATGTGCTATATTTATGGGATAAAGTGCTCAATATCAGAGATAGAGCGTGTGTAAATATAAAAGTGAACATAGAAGTCAACACTTCGAGGCGACAGGCTGTTTCATGCTAGATACAATCGTCAGGTCACGAGTGCTGTTATTTTTCTCGGCTATAGTCGACTTCTATGTTCACTTTTATATTTATATATATAACACATATATATGTGTGTGTGTGGTACCTCAATATATTTATAGCCTATTAAAGAAAAGCATTTATTTTATGTAAGAAATATTTATTTTTCAATTATAATAATTATTATATATAATCTCTTTGTGTCAAGGCACTAAATTCAGTGTTTAATGAATATTAATTACGTAGAGCGAACATTATACAGTGAAAACATCATATATATATATATATATATATATACGGAAAAAACAAACAATCATGTCATGTTGAATTGATAATGTTAATTATATTTTATGAATATGTCCTGAAGATGGTTTATTAGACCGAAACGTCCGACGCTGACATATTAACATTAAAACAACATAATTGTATATAAGGATTTTTGTTTGTTTTTTCCGTATATTTTTCTTCATATATATATGTATATATGAGATAATGATATATAGGTTTTAGATTATATAGATTTTTATGTATCAAGAATAGTATTGGGGGAAATGTTTGACAAAGTGGAAAAAATGGCTTTGTGTGAATAGTTTTGTCCTTTACGACTTTATTGGACTAAATTTGTTACGTTGGTGCCACTACACATGCGAACATATTTATAAAGTGATTTCGCCATTAATCACATTAACATTGCTAATTAATTCTTTTTGTATAAATTGTTCCTTTATAATATATATATATATATATATATATATATATATATATATATATATATATATATATATAAAATCTTTTACTTTCAAGCCATTTTAAAGGATTGTATAAGGATTTTCCTTCGATGAATTTCAGGAAAGGCTAAATGGATTTCTTAATTCCGAGTCATTCTGATAAGGATGAAGAGGATTTACCTTTAATTCGATACAAAAAGCTGGGAAAATAGATTAACAACTTTCGACTGAAGAAAAGATACCAGAATAAAATCAACAATTTTTTAAAAGTCACTCGTTTTCTTTCTTCTTCAATCACGAGAAACGCCAGCTTAAGGAAACTAATAAGATTCCATATTAAGCATAGACACAAATACATAAACACGCAATTCATTCTTTCGTTTTGGGATCTGATGAAGTCTTGAATGACGAAATACAATATCAAATATATTTTTAATCATATCTATTTTCATGAAACAATTACAATTGTTAAAACTTTGTCGGGATTTCTATATGCTAATTTTAATATATATATATACATACATACATATATATATATACATACATTCATACATATATCTATATCTATATATCTATATCTATATATATATCTATATATATATATCTATATATATCTATCTATCTATCTATCTATATATATATATATATATATATATATATATATATATATATATATATATGAACAATAAGAAAATTAAAAATTAAAAATTAAAATCATTAGACACACTGGGTTTGTAGATTAATATTCTTTCGTTTTTTTTTTATTATTATTCCATTTAGATTCCTCGACTAGTTTCGACCGAAATGGCCATCATCGGGAGGAGAAATATTTCTGCTTGTTGTTAGCAGTGAACTACAGAAATGAATGTCTTTGTTGGAGAAAATGAACTTTTTGTCTGTTTTTCATTTGTTTTTTATTTTTTTATCTTTTTCACATGAATCTTTTAACATTCCTTGTGTTGGTCAAACAGTCTCTTTTAAGTTGTTATTTGAGATAAGAACTGGATAGATACATTTTATCCTGAATTCTCTGGTCAGTTTGACAGTTTTATTGGACCTGGTGAGGGATGTGTCTCTGTTTAGTGTTTGTGTGTGTGTTATTTGGTTCTTAGGGAGTGAGTGAGTATGATATGCGTAAGTGTGTATTGCTGTAATGTGTTATCATTTGGCTCATTAGGGAGTGAGTGAGTATGGTGTGTGTACGTGTGTATAATCGTGTGGGTGAGTGTATAAGTCTGAGGCCTCCATTCCTCCGTAAGCATGTCTGTCCTGTGGGGGTGAGAAATGTGGGTAGGTTTTGATTTGTTGAGTTATATATTGTTACTATTATATATTGTTAAATTTATGATTTAGCCCGGCTGGGTATTTTGTTTTTAGACGTTGTATCCACTTATTTTCTTGGGACTCTAAAATCTTTCTAATGTTATCTGCTCTGAACTTTTATATATATATATATATATATATATATATATATATATATATATATATATATATATATTTATTTTAAAAATATGATTCTATCGCGACACAGAAATTACTGTTTCGAAACTTGACTCAAATCCTAAAGTTCTAAAACATCGCTTGAGAA